TTTGTTCAGATTCTTGTTGTTGAAGTCGTTCAGTTGGTTCATCATCATTAATAACTGATGTATAATCAATATCAATTGGTTCAATTTGATCTTGTAATAAATTAATTCTATCATTATTATTATTATTATTATTATCTTGTTCATTTTTAAAATCATTTGGTTCAATTAATTGATTCAAATATATCTCATCATCCGATGAAATTTCTTCTGCTTCTGGATCATCACACCTAAATAATGTAGCGAATTTTTGCATGTTGATGTTCTTAATTTTTTTATTTTTTTATTTTTTTGATGTTAGTAATGGTGGAAATTTAGTTGAGTTAAATGCGACGAACATTTCATTCATTTTCCTATTTTTAATTTTACCAAATGCCCAACTTTCAGTAATTGGTCGTATTAAAAATGTAACAGCCATAACATCGTGTGTAGCATAATGGATCATCTTCATTCGTTCAACATGTGATAATGATGATTGACTTGATGATAAACTTAATGACCAATGACTTAATCTACATGATTTATCAATAAATAAATTACATCCATACATAAACGCATTTTGAAGAGACCAAAATTCGTTAATTTTATATGGTGATGGTGGATGACAATGACATGATAATTGTTGATGATGTTGTTGTATAAATTCATTATCATCATTCATATCATTTCGATGTGACAGGCCCTGGACCCCACACTGGGTCCGTGCCCGATTATACCACGCAGAAAAATGTGGTTGAATATCAATTAATGCTGCTGGAATTGGCCAGATAAGTAATTCTTTTGCTGGTTCAAGTTCTATTTGCATATTTCCCCAAGCATAGATTTCGTTGTTTAACCTAAAAATTAATTGAAACAATTGATAAATATTTTCATACTTTTGGGAATTCCGATCTGGTAAGTGCTTCAACTCGAATAACATTACAAGTGATGATGCTTCAATTGGTATCGAGTTAATTTGGATCAATGATAATTGATTGTTTGTTCGTTCAGACTCTGTGTCTATCGCATACTGTTTGCATGTATTCACGTGATTTAATAATTTGTTTATCGTATTTGTTGATGTGTTGTTATTGATAAATATTACTTCATAATCTGACGAGTGAACATGAAATGGTGAATAATGTTTTGCATAAGATGGACGATCTGAACAAGATGATGAACGATAAGAACGAGATGTTGAATGATCATCTGATACATAATGTGAATCACGAATACGAGATGAATAATTTGATTTAGACATGAGGATAATCTTATATAAGTAAATGATCAGATAAAGGTTCACGTTCGAACAAATAACAAAGAGAGAAAAGTTTCCCAATAAATAAAGTTTAATCAAGATAATTGAAAATGAAATTTCAACCAAAAGAGTAAATCGATTGAAATGAACTGATGATGGATCAATAACAGCAAC